CCTCCTCCTCAAGCGCGCTAGCCAAACCGACCTTCAGCAACGTCGTAATTGATTCGAAGGGAAGCCCCTTCCCTTTAATCTCTCCCCCGCCGGGAGGGGGAGGGAGGGTCTTTCCCAGGGCCTCCTCCTCAAGCGCGCCAGCCAAACCGACCTTGAGCAACGTCGTAATTGAGTCGAAGGGAAGCCCCTTCCCTTTCCCTTCCCCGACGGGGAGGGGAGGGAGGGTCCCAGGGGGGGTCCCGGGGGAGTCCCGGGGAAGTCCCGGGTCAGATACGACGCCCCCCCCCGTAAGTACTCCACGTAAGGATTCTTTCTTGTTTCAGGCCGCGCCCGAGCCGCCCGAGCCGCCCCCGAGCCGCGCCCGAGGAGGAGAGCGCCTCAGAGAGCCCCCCTCTGTTCCCCCTGTCCACACGGGGGGGTCCCCCCCTTTACTCCCCCTGTCCTTCCTGTCCACAGGAAGAGAGCGCCCCGCGCCCCGCGCCTTTCCCCCCTCTCCCCCGTCCCCCCTCTGTTCCCCCTGTCCACAGCCCCCTCTGTTCCCCCTGTCCACACGGGGGGGAGCCTTCCCTTTCCTCCCCCTGTCCTTCCTTTCCACAGGAAGAGAGCGTTCCGCGCCCCGCGCCTTTCCCCCCTCTCCCCCGTTCCTTCGGATTTCCAGCTTCACATCCTTCCAAGGACCCTGCAACTCCTCCTCTCTTCTCCTTCTCAGCCTCCTCCTCCTTCTAGTCATCCTCCTCCTCCTCCTTCTCCTCCTCCTCCTCCTCCTCCTCCTCCTCCCGGAACCCGAGAGCCTGACAACTCTGGACCCCACCCCCTGATTCCAGGACCCTAAGAACGGCCTCCAAAGTTCCGGTGAAGTCCCAAGAGCGCTTGAAAAGGACCCCAAAGATAGCCTCAAGACGGCAGCAGCAGACGGAACACCACCACCAGCAACACCGTCACCATCGCCAGGAACGACCGAACCACCAGCAGCACCCGCGACACCAGCAGCAAGAGAACCACCAAGACCATCATCATGGCCAACAGCAACGGCAGGAAGAAAACGACCACCAGCAAAAGTACACCTCCCTCCCCCACCTTCTCGTCCTTCTCCCCTCTCCCCAAAACCATCCCACAGCCCGTGCCTCTTGCTGCGCTCTGCGAACAGGGTCGGCGGCACCGGCCGTAAGGCCTTCGCAATAGTGAAAACTCGTCCCCAGACCGTTTTGTTTACACTATGTTTGAATTTTCCTCTTGTAGAGGAACAGGCCCGACTTCACCCTGGGGCCGGTTTCCTCCTGCGTCGTTGTTTGACGCTCCCGAAGCCCAGCGAGGGCACCCCGAGGCCGAAAACGGCCAAAAAGCGCCTGCTCCAACTCTTCTGGAGCGTCGGATCTATGGGAGGGTGGGGTTCACATGTGGTGGCCGGGGTGGACCCCCAGTGGACTTGTCCGATGCCACAGCCTCGACCCGACCCGCAGGGAAGAGCAATCACAGATGGTCGCAGGAGGATTGGCCAGAAGGGCCCCACAGCCTCTGGAGAAAGAGAGAGAGAGAGAGAGGGAGAGAGAGAGAGAGGGAGAGAGAGAGAGGGAGAGAGAGAGGGAAAGAGAGAGAGAGAGAGGGAGAGAAAGGGAGAGAGAGAGAGAGGGAGAGCGAGAGGGAGAGAGAGAGAGAGGGAGAGAGAGAGAGAGAGATCAGAGGAAGCACCGCTCACGAGGCCAAAAGGGCCCCTCCTCCTCCTCCTCCTCCTCCTCCCTCCTCCTCATCCTCCTCCTCCTCCTCCTGTTCCTCATCTTCCTCCTACGCCTCCTCGTCGTCCTCGTCCCTCGTCCTCGTCCTCGTCCTCGTCCGCGTCCTTCTCCTCCTCCTCCTCCTCCTCCTCCTCCTCCTCCTCCTCCTCCTCCCCCCTCCCCAGAGGTCCCAAGCTGGCGCGCGAAGCCGGGAGCACGTCGTGCGGGCGAGGTACTCTATCCCTACCAACCGCGTCGTCGAGTTCCGGGCTCCCTGCCTCAGAAATCCGAGTCGGAACGGATGGGACATATCATCTGGCACCCGGAGGCTAGCTTGCTCTCCATGTCCACTGCGCCTCGGCCTTGTGGCGCGCCCTCCCAGGACGCCCGAGAAGCAGTGGCTCATGGATATGACCCGTGCCCGCACCGTGGCAACACCCGATCCTGCGCTGGCTCCCGGGCGACGTACGGCTCTGGCGCGTCGTCGTAGAGCTCGCACTCCTCGCTGGCGTCGCTGACGAGGCACTCCTGGGGAGGGCAGAAGATGCCGATGCCGCTGCTGCCGGGACGTCTGCTGTGGGGCGTGCTGGCCAGGACCTCTGGGTGAATCTGGCGGTAGCCCCGAGGGTCTCCCCAGAGCCGGGCCCTATAGAGAGGCGAACGCGGGAGAAGGGTACGGTCAACCCGAATTGTCAGGATGCACGATAAGGAAGCAAGGGCCCTGGACGCCCATCTCGAGGCTCTTCGAGCGGGTCGCGGCCAACGAAAGCGGCCAAGGATGGACCGAGGAGGCAAGGATGCCAGCGTACCCTTAGGAAGGTTGCACATCCTTACTATGCGGGTTTGTACGGCAAGTTCGCGTCGTGATGACATGGGTTTTGACTTCTGACACCAGGCGGCTCGTTGGAATCCCCCAGCGATCGTGGCTATCCGACAGCGCAGACCATTCCACATCGGCCAAAATGCTGGGCCGCTGGCGGCGTTCCACCGCGAACGCTCACGCGCAGCTGGCGCCGCTTCAACGCATCGCGCACCTTCCACAGCGGCAGCGGTACCATTCCCTAGAGGGAAAAACGCCATAAACAGAACCTTGTTTGGCGCTCCGGGCGGATTTCTTGTATCCGCGCCGGACCCCCTCGCCGCTGGGGGGTGGCCCAGCGCGGATCCAAGCAATCCGCGCGGAGCGCCAAAAGTTTATGGTTGTGGCGTTATTTTTCTTCTTCGAGTAGAGGTATCGGTAGCTTTCCCTCCTCCGAGCTCCAGGGGCATCTGCCGAGGAGCGTCGAGCAGGTCCTGCAGCAGTATGCGGTAAGGCCCGCCCGAGCCCGCCGCGGCCGGCACGCCGCCCTCGACCGCGTCGACCCGCACCTGGAAGCACAGCTCCCCGTCCGTGTCCGCGCACGCGACGTTGCTGACCAGCAGCGCCCTGATCACGTCCTCGACCCGCATGTCGCCCCTGGCTCGGGGGCCTCGCACATGGGGCCCGAGCAGGCGGGGACGAAGGATCACGCCGCATCACCGACGCATCGACGCCGTCCGCGTGGAGAACATCGGGCCGAACATCGACCCGCACCACCGATGCCTCGGCGATGCGGCGCAAGCCTCCGACCCCATCTGCTCGGACTCCATTTGGGAGGCCCGGACTGGTGTGAGGAAGGAGGGTTCCTGAGGAGGACGGGTCCTGGTGGCAAGAGGGGAGGCCATAGAAGGAGAGCACGGCACGGCTGCACACAGGCACAACTCTGCGGAGGGCCGCGCGGATCTCTTCGATCGGCGACGGGCTCCGCCGGGGGAGCCCAGCGCCGATGCAGGAGATGGGCGCGGACCTCCGGAGATTTGCCGGTGCGGATGTGTCTTACCAGCCTGGAACATATCCCTATCCCTATGCTGGGCGTCTCCTCATCACGATGCCGATCTTGGGGATTCCCTTATTTTTTGAGGGCGAATCCCTAAGATTGTCATCGCCTTTTGGCGTGTCGATCTCAGGGATAGGGATAAGTTCGAGGCTGGCAAGTGTCTTCTTCCTCGGGAGAGGTCCCGAGGGACCCGCGTCCTGGCAACCAGAACTCTCCATGCCAGCGTCTCGCCGTGGGCGTTCCGTTGCTCCCGGGGCCCGGGCGAAGCTGCCCAAGAACTCTCGGGGGATTTGCCTCCGCCAGAGCTCCGAAGGAATTGGGCGGGAGTGGCCAGAGGCTTCCCGCAGGCTGAACAAATGTTGATCAGCATGGGCACAGCCCTATGCGGCGAAATCTAAGTGATGCAACAAACGAAATGCAATCTGGGCGGTGCAACACGTGTAGTGCAATATCTGTGAAGCAAGACAATGCAAAGTAGCGCAAACCAATACACAGCAACGCAGAGCAATGAAACGCGAAGCCATGAAACGCAATACAAAGGAATGTAAGGAAATGGTAAGCACTGCAAGTCAATGAAAAGTAATGCGAAGCAATGCAAATCAATGCAGCAAAGCAGTGCTAAGCAACGCACAGGAAAACAAAGAAATGCAAAGCAATGGAAAGCACAGCCACGCAATGACAAGCAATCCATTGCAACACAAAACAACGCAAGGCCATGCACCGCTATGCAAAGCCGTGCGAAGCCGTGTATGCAACGCAACGCCATGCGATTGCAGTGCACGGCGGCGACGGGCGACAACGGTATGCGAAGCGAAACAGTGCAGAGCAACGCAAAGCACATCAAAACAATGCAATTGCAGCGCGCAGCGGCGACGGGCGGCCGTACGACCAAGCCGGACCGCCACTGGGGCTCCCCTGCAGGCGGCGCCGGCGGTGGCGATGGGCGGCGGCGCGCGGCCACGAGCTGGCCGAGCCGCCACTGGACCTCGGTGGACAATGGCGACGGCGACGGGCGGCCTCAAGCCGGCCAGACCGCCATTGGAGCTCGGCTGCCTGGTGGAGCCGAAGTGAAGTAGCCTGGCGAAGGACCCAAGCATAAGCAGTGATACAGTCGGGGCGTTGACCTAGGGAACCCTAAATAAGGAACGAGGCCCCTTTTTTCCATAAGTTAGCCTTCGATTTCCCATCGAAAACATAAGGAAAACCTGAGGCAAGCTGTGAAACACTGAAGGAACGCGGAGCCCCTCCCCAACCAAAAGGATTCCTTCTTCAGGGCCCCAACTGTGCGTACCGCAGTTGCGAGTACCATCTTCGGTGGATCCTCCTCTGCGGCCACGGAACGTGTGAGGGGTGTGCCAAAGTGGCCCGTCGGCGGCAGGCGGCCTTTTCCACCGAGGCTTTCGGTGGCGATCTCTATGGAATCACGAAACGTGTGAGGGGTGGGCCGACATGGCGAGGTAGCGGCATGCGGGCCCTGGCACTGGGGCCTTCGGTGGAGCTCCCTACGGGGCTGCGAGACGTGTGAGGGGTGTGCCGAGATGGCGAGGTGGCGGCAAGCGGGCCCTGGCGCTGGGGCCTTTCGTGGAGCTCTCTACGGGGCTACGAAACGTGCGAGGGGTGTGCCGAAATGGCGGAGGGCAGAGGCAGGGGTGGGAGGAGGGTGGAGGGGGAGGAAGGACGGAACGCGGGGCACTGTCTCTTCAAAACGAGGCTGAGTACCATCTTCGGTGGACGCTCCTATGCGGCCACAGAACGTTTGAGGGGTGTGCCAAAGTGGCCCGTCGGCGGCAGGCGGCCTTTCCCACTGGCATGGCGGAAAAACTACGTAAGCATAAACGTTTGGCGCTCCGCGCGGCTTTCTTAGATCTGCCCTGGGACCTCCTCCCTGGCGCGCGGAGAGCGCCAGGGGCGGCGCCCGAGGCGCCGCCGGGGGGGCCAGGGCGAATCCAAGATATCCGCGCGGAGCGCCACAAGTTTGTGGTTATGGCGCTTTTTCTTCTTCGGATGATGTCTTGGCCCCCTCTTCTCGCCATCGCTCTGACGTCCATTCCCCGTGCAGTTGTCGACATCGTGCGCGCATTTCCTCGTATGACAGGTCACAATGCTCCTCGATGGCCCTCGCTGCGAAAAAATGCAGACGCCCGAGCGATGCGAAGTCCTGGCCGCCCCCGACACCGAACGCCCCTGATTTGAGCAGGGGCCGACCGTCCCGACATTCCTATAGGCCTACCACGACATGTTCTTTTAACCCCCCAAGAATGTTCTAAGAACCAAAACCATGTTCTCAGACCGCAAGCACGATGTGCTGAGACAGGACGGTGCCAGCCACAGGCGTTCTCAGAACATCCCGCCGAAGCCACGAAGAGTTCTTGGCACGTTGCTGTTCTTAGAAGGCTTGTGACTGGGACTACAGGCACGCCGGGACGCGTCGCCACTGCTTGACGAGCGCCCCCGATGTTCCCGGCGGCCTGAGCGATATGACGCGCTGCGGGCCGCCAAGCTCGAGGCCGACCACGCCGAGCCCGGGGCCCCACCGCGCCGGGGGGGGCAGCACCGCCTGCTTGCTGGCGCCGTCCTGGGCGCGCGTGCGCGGCGGCGGCGGGCGCCTTCGGGGGAGGGGGGAGGAGGAGGAGGAGGAGGAGGAGGAGGAGGAGGAGGAGGAGGAGGAGGAGGAGGAGGAGGAGGAGGAGGGAGGCGGCGGAGGAGACGAGGCGGGAGGAGGACGAGGATGGAGCCCGCGCCCCGCCGCCCTTCGAGCGGCGGGGGGGCCAGCAAAAGAAAAGAAACAGGCGCCTCCCGAGAGCTCCCTGCGCCGGCAGGTGCCACACGCACCTCGCCCGGCGTCGCGCCGGTGCAGCGTCGATCGCTCCCGAGCTACCTACGATGGCAGGTTTTTGCACGCACCGCGCCCGCCTCCGCGCCAATGTGTAGTGTCGAGGTATGGCGTCGACGATGGCGCCGGGGAGCGTCGACACGCGTCGTTTTTGTCGCGTTTTTGTCGCAGGGGCCAGCAGGATGGTGTGGGAGGATCCCGTATGAGGTGCCGTAGCAATATATGAAAAAGTCGTCTGTTGTTTTTGTCCGCTTTCGCCTCCCCCTCCTCCTCCGCCACCACCGCCTCCTCCTCCTCCGCCTTCTCCTCCTCCTCTTGCCTCCTCCTCCTCCTCCTTCTCCTCCTCCTCCTCCTCCTCCTCGTCGTCCTCGTCGTTCCTCGTCCACGTCGTCTCGTCCTCGTCGGTCCGTCGTCCTCGTCGTCCTCTCTTCCTCCTCCTCCTCCCTCCTCCTCCTCCTCCTCCTCCTCCTCCTCTCCCCTCCTCCCCTCTCCTCCCCTCCTCCTCCTCCTCCTCCTCCTCCTCCTCCTCCTCCTCCTCCTCCTCCTCCTCCTCCTCCTCCTCCTCCTCCTCCTCCTCCTCCCCTTCCTCCTCTCCCTCCCCTCCTCCTCCTCCTCCTCTCCTCCTCCCCTCCTCCTGCTCCTCCTCCTCCTCCCGCTCCTCCCTCCTCCCTCCTCCCTCCTCCCCCTCCTCCCCTCTCCTCCCCTCCTCCCTTCCTCCCTCCTCTCCTCCTCCTCCTCCTCCCTCCTCCTCCTCCTCCTCCTCCTCCACCTCCTCCTCCTCCTCCTCCTCCTCCTCCTCCTCCTCCTCCTCCACCTCCCCCTCCTCCTCCCTCCTCCTCCTCCTCCCACCTCGCAGGCCGCCCGATCTCCGCGAGCGCCCGATCTCCGCCAATTCTTGGCGGCCCGGGCCTGTCCTTCCCCCCTCCTGCTCCGCGGCCGCTTTTTTGATGCTCTTCTCTACAGGATTCGGCGTGACCTAAGGAACGATACATCAGGAACGACGCCCCTTTTTTCCAAGTAAGTCTACGAAGTCCGAAGGCACGGACCCGCCCTTCCAAAATCTGAAGGAACACCAGGGGGGCTCGCCGCCAACAAGGTAGCCGAACGCATGCAAACCAAAGGAACGACCGAGCCCCTTTTGAAGAGTAAATGTTTCTTATTCCCCATATCCTAAGATGGGGTTCTTGTTATTACTTGGACGCCTCCTACTCCTTCTTCTTCTCCTCCTCCCCTCTTCTCGTCTCCTCCTACTTAGACTCACTCATACTCAGATTCACTCATACACAGACTTACTCATACACAGACTTACTCATACACAGACTCACTCATACTCAGACCTGATCACATTAACTTACTCATACTCAGACCTACTCATACCCAGACCTACTCATACTCAGACTTACTCATACTCAGACTTCCTCCTTCTCCTCCTCCTTTTACTCAGAGTTCCTCATACACAGACTTACTCATACTCAGAATTACTCATACTCAGACCTTCTCATTGTCTGACTTATTCGATAAACAGCAGATTGCGAGGATGTCTCAGGCGGGGCGCTGGTTTCAGCACCCCTAAGGGGAGCCGCCGAGGGGTGTTGCACGGTCCCGTTCGCGGCCGTTTTGTGGGGATGTCTCAGGCGGTTTGCCTGTTTGTCTTGCCAACATCCTTCGCTTTCGGAGCAGATTTGGAGGATGTCTCGAGCGAGGCGCTCATTTTCACCCCCAGGTGGGCCAGATTTTGAGGATGTCTCGATCGGTTTGCTTGTTTTGGTGGCCAGGCTCGTGGCCTAAGGGGAGCCGCCAGGGGTGTTTGCACGGGCTCGTTCGCGGCCATTTTGTGGGGATGTCTCAGGCGGTTTGCTTGTTTCTGGGCCCAACATCCTTCGCTTTCGGAGCAGATTTGGAGGATGTCTCGAGCGAGGCGCTCATTTTCACCCCCCAGGTGGGCCAGATTTTGAGGATGTCTCGATCGGTTTGCTTGTTTTGGTGGCCAGGCTCGTGGCCCTAAGGGGAGCCGCCGAGGGGTGTTGCACGGTCCCGTTCGCGGCCGTTTTGTGGGGATGTCTCAGGCGGTTTGCTTGTTTGTCTTGCCAACATCCTTCGCTTTCGGAGCAGATTTGGAGGATGTCTCGAGCGAGGCGCTCATTTTCACCCCCCAGGTGGGCCAGATTTTGAGGATGTCTCGATCGGTTTGCT